CTGTGCCCAGTAGCAGTTTGAGTCCGGGACACTCCCCAGGGCCATCTGGGGCTGCCCAGGACACTACAGCCAGCAGAAGACGCTACTGGTGTCCCTGATGTTTGGTCATTTTCAAGGCCAATAACTAAGCTACAATGGTTCTCCCACACCTGGAGGCTGATGAGTAATGAGCACCATTAAGGCCTATTTCAAATGTAAAAAACCTTGAGATAATGTACTAAATTGTTCAGAAGGTTGTTTTCTTAGTAGAATGCTACAGGATTTTCTTTAGCCATCCGGAGTTCCTGCCTTCGTCCCAGTGCCAGTGAAGGTGGAAGAATTTCCAGTGTTGCTAAAAACCGGACGAGACTTCGGCTGAGAAAAGGACGAAACTTCAGATCAAGCTAGCTGCCTGCAGAACTTACCTGGACTGTGATTTAAGCTAGCTGCCTGCAGAACTTACCTGGACTATGATTTACCTGGACTGTGAGTTAATCCATTGAGACACTGCTTTACCTGGACTGAGACAACAAACTGTAATCAATAACAAATTGTAACTCAGTATCTTTGCTAACAGTGTCATTGCTGGTATAATTTTTCCAAGGGCTTCTTGCATGGAGCCATCAAGTGGCTTGGTATTGTGGCATTTTGTATCCTCCCTTTCTGTTTGTAGCAGGTTATTTATGGTGTTTCTGTAAAAACCACTATGGTTGTTATTTAAATTAAACAAAAGGGGGAAATGTTAGAGTCTGTAAACAAGTCAAAAATAACACCTGGCATTTTGCCAGGGGAATGTTAGAGTTCGTAAACAAGTCTGGATGGTGCCTGGCAAAATGCCAGAGGGAGTGGTTTGAGAAGTAACAAAAGCGAGCCATTAAGTGTGGAGATTCCTTATTGGTTGACTGATGTATCTAGTTTATGCTAATTAGATAAGCTGTGTGGAATGTATAAATACTGCTCCTGTCCTGCAATAAACGGCTCCTACTCCTGCTGTATCAACGTACACAAGTTATTCGTCACCCCCAGGTTATTTTGCTGCAGCCGGACTGCGGCACAAGTAAGTCACAGGTTCATCACACGTCTTAACATCTGAGGGTTGAAGAAATGACACAAAAATTTCTAGAAAAATCTTCATTGCACAAAATCTTTTAATAAACAAATTTCTGAGGCTTAAAAACCTGTCCTAAAAAACAAAAAACCCTGATATTTCTGAGGGTGTTGAGGCCAGACAATGCAAGTCCAAGGCCAGCCTAGCAGTGAAGCAAGACTCCATCTCAAAAAGGAAAAAATCTAAATACCTACTTTAATAAATTGAACCTTTCTGCACGTCTAACTCTTCTGCAGGGCTAAGATCGTTCTTCTTCATGTCTTTCATCGCGATGTCCTGAGTATCTTACTCTTACTTACCCTAAAATACCTCTGCTACATCATGTCCTCTAGGAAAGTTCCCGGGCCTGGGTGGGACACTGTGGTACTTTCCCAGAGCGCTCTGGCCTTTCCTCCCCATCGCTCGACACTTACAGTTACCTGGTCAGTGCCACTCGCCGGGAGCATGCCCCCTCCCGGTGCCCTCTGTGTGCCCCAGAGCTCCAGGGCACTAATGACGAACCCGGGTATTTTGTTCCATTTTACTAGTAGTAAACCAATTTCTACTGAAGGAATGAAGGGGGGTCAGGACCAGCTCCAGCTGGAGACAACCCCTCTTACACTACACAACAGCCCTCTAGCCTCTTCCCCAGAAATTACCAGAGGCTTCTCCACGCCCCCCCTGACTGACAAACACTTCTTCAGGATGGAATCTGGGCAGGGTTTATAAGTCGTGATAATTATGATAGTCCTGACAGCACCACTCCCAGTCAGTGAGCAACTCAAGGCCACCTTAGCAGTGAAGCAAGGCTCCATCTCAAAAAGAAGAAAATCCACATCCACCAGTGCCCGGACCCACACCATCATTCCAGGAGTGTGGATGTTTTTTCCATTCTGCCATAGGAGGAAGCCGTAGCTCAAGAGAAACCCAGCAAGTTTCAACGTCACTGAGCTGTAAACTGCAGAGCTGGAGGGGGAGCCTGCATCTGCCTGTCTACAGACCTCCTGCTCCCAGCCTCTGTGGGCACCCCTCTGGGTGAGAGGTCCTTCTCCAAGAGTGATTTGGGAATCCACTTACGCATGGCTGTGGTTTCGCTGGCCACCACATGCGATGAACAGAGGGTTCTCCGGCAGGTCACAGGCACTGGGGAGACAGATTAGTTAGCATTTCTCCACCTTCTTTTTAAGCATGAATTCTGAGAACCAGTGGCGAACTTGAAACCACCTTTGAAAGGGAGTGCCCGTGTGCTAACTGCCCACATCCAAGGGTCCATGACCATACCACACAGGACCAAGTAAGAGCTCAGGTCTTTCTGGACAGCGTGGCTAAGGTGACTGGGGAGCGACGTGGTCATGCGGCCCACCAGCTCATACTCACGCCCTCCCCTGGCCATCCTCCCATCTCTGCTCATGCTAACATGAAATGCCTGCCCAGCTATGTCCATTGATACCCAAATGAACTTGGAATGCACAGTTTCCTTCTTTTAAAACAAGTCTACAAATTCAATAATTAGGAATTAAGGAAATGAAGTCTCCCTTTTACAAGTGGAAAGACCCCTGAGCACATCAGAGACGACCTCTCGGAGGGTCCCAACCCCCCACAGAGGCAGCGAGGGCCTCGACCTCCGAAGAATGTTCACAGGGAAGACTCTTCTGCAGGAGATGTGTGTGGAGGTCACCAAGGGAGGCCGGGCAGTGCAAGAGTCGCAGAGGTCAGCGGGGAAACTAGGAGAGGAAGCCAAAGAGGAGGGGAGGGGAGGAGGTCACGCCTCCCCTGGGCACATGGAGCCAGCATGGAGCTGAGGGGGTGGTTCTCTGTCCTCTGCCCCCGGCACTAGGACCCAGACAGCAGCTGGGGACGTTGGCATAAACTGACAAGTGCATTTTGAGGTAAGGGGACTTCCGGCTGGAGACACAAGTATCGCTATTTCACTGTTTCCTTAGGAAAATTTACTGAGTTTCAAATAACATGTGAGTTTTAGAAAATAACATATTAGTAAACTGCAAGATGTTTGGTTTTGGTCATGAATTTATTTGTACTGCCTTTCAAGCCTTCTCCAAATTTCCCCTAAATTTCCATAAATTCTGACAAATTTTTCTTGTGTGTATATATAAGAAGCAATCAATTTGTGGGATTTTTCATCTTGGGTCAAGTGACAAGAAATCTGTTCCTCTCATTATGTAAAAATGTGGATGTGTAACCGATGTGATTCTGCAATCTGTATTTGGGGTAAAAATGGGAGTTCATAACCCACTTGAATCTAATGTATGAAATATGATATGTCAAGAGCTTTGTAATGTTTTGAACAACCAATAAAAAAAAAATCTGTTCCTCTCCATTATTTCTTCCTAGTTAAAAATTAAGGTCTAGGGGTTGGGGTTGTGGCTCAGTGGTAGAATACTCGCCTAGCACTTGTGAGTATTCTCAGCACCACATAAAAATAAATAAAGGTATTGTATTCATCTACAACTAATAAAACCAAAAATTTCGGGGCTGAGGATGTGGCTCAAGTGGTAGTGTGCTCGCCTAGCATGCATGAGGCACTGGGTTCAATTCTCAGCACCACATAAAAATAAAATAAAGATATTTTTTTTAAAAATTTCCAAAAAGTTAAGGTCTAGCAACATATCTTTCCTTACCTGTGTAAAACCAAACCCAAAATAAATATCAAAAAATGTTTTCCTGCTGGGCATGGTGGCAAACGCCTGGGATCCCAGTGGCTCAGGAGGCTGAGGCAGGAGGATTACAAATTCAAGGCCAGAATCAGCGACTTAGGACGACCCTGTCTCTAAAAAATAAGAAAAAGGACTGGGGGTGTGGCTCAGTGTTTAAGTGCCTCTGGGTTTAATCCCTGGTACCCCGCCACAAAAAAAAAAATTTTCCAGCTTGATTGTTTCACATGGGTGATATAAAATGGGGAAATGCAGGTCAGTCTAATGTGACCAGGTATTATGAATCCTTCCAATATAAACCTGACTCCCTTCTAACTATAATCACAGTAGCCGACATCCATTAAGTGCTTTCTACACACGAAACCCTTGACGCAGTTGTACTCATTTAGTCTCCACACCCTACGAGAAGGCAGAACAATTCCTGTCCCTGATTTACACCGAGGCTTAGGGAGGTTAGCAACTTGCTCCAGATAACTCGGTATGAGTGGCAGCTCTCTCAAATGCCAAAGCCCACCCTTTTTCCAAAAATGCACCTAAAAACCCGCAGCCACGGAGTGAGGCCTTGGGAATTTAACTTGAGGTTCATTTCACTATTAAAATGGTATTTGTATCAGATCACCCCAGCCAAGTGGTTACTCACTGACTCTTAAACACAGGTTTACTATGTACAAGCTGAAGGCTGAACTTAGCATCAGAGGGCGTTTCAAACAGCACAACTTATAACCAGGACCATCACCACATGAATACCCGCAGGAGTTCGAGGTCCTAGCACACCCTCCAGTGTCTGCTGTTCTGGAGCAGTGCCTCTAGAGGCCACTCTGGTGGCCTGGGCACTCAGGCCTCCTACAGAGCTGTCAGGAACAGCCTCCAGGGCACAGCTGCTGCCCAGAGGATCCCTGGTCCTCTGCTGTTGGCATCTCCAGGGCTCCCTGCTGGGCCCTGTGCCTGCAGCACAGGCTGCCTCCAGGGCTTCCAGTCTAACCCGGCTGCTCCACTGGGCCCCAGGGGGCCAGGGCAGTGCCACCCACGGTGTGGTCACAGCAGAGCCTGGCTGCAGCCTGGAGCAAGCGTCCCAGCTGCTCTGACCTGCATTTGGTCCGAGTCTGGTCAATTCTCGTCCTGAGCATGGCCAGGAGAGGAGGAAGAGGACTCGGGTGCAGCAGCTGTCCCATCTGGGCGGGTGTCAGGTTTCCACAGAGTGCTATATAGGAGGTGTGGCCAGGGGTCTGGTGGCTTCTCCTCTTTTAGGTGAGGAACCCTCTGCAACCCTCAACCCTGAGAGGTCGTCGAGTGGACTGTGGCACACACAGTAGAGCCCTCTAGAGCCTGCGGAGGGCTGGCCCCAGCATGGATCCCCCCAAAACAGTTGGGGTGCCACCTGGGGGTTGGGGGAGCGATCCTTCCTGCCTTCATAAGTACCCCCTCCCACACACTTTGCAATACCCATCTCTCTGTTCCTGAAACCTGAGGGGCATCAGCCAAGCCCAGTGGATGGGGACCAGGAGGGTCCTGAGGTGCCGGATTTCCTTGCTTCTCCTCCTTGAGCAAGTTAAGGCAGCACTTCCCGAGATTGCTCCGAGTTTGTCTGATCAGATGAAAAGCCCGAGAGCTAGGCGGGGAACAGGGTAGCAGGGCAGGTAGCGACAGGTTAGGAAACAGTTACGGCTGCTCACCTGGTCCCGTTCTCCAGCATGAAGCTCGTGAGCCGGTAGATATTGGTGGACCAGAACACCATGTCATCCAGTCCTCCAAGGAAATACTCCTGGAACTGTTCCACCAGAAACGGGGACTTTGTAGAGTACGTAGAATAAAGCTGCAGCAGAGAAAAAGAAAAATAAATGAGGTGCTGAGCCTGCACCTGCACAAAGCCTTGAGTCGGGGAGGAATGAGTCTTTACCTTGGAAACGGCTAACACCTCTCCATACCTGCAACAGAAACAAGGACTGATCGTAAATCACATTTTCTATAAGAAATGAAGCAAGCGCTGAAGAGAAAGGCCATCCACAGAGACCCACTATGATGCATTTGCTCTGAATAAGCCAGATCCATATAACCAAAACCCATTCTCAGGAGCTCACACACAAGAAAGTCACAAGGAAAGCCATGCGCACGCCTGTAATCCCAGCAGGATTAGGGAGGCTGAGGCAGGAGGATTGCAAGTTCGAGGCCACCCTCAGCAACTTAGCAAGACCCCGTCTCAAAAATTAAATAAAAAAGGGCTGGGGATGAGGCTCAGTGGTGAAGTAGCCCTTGGTTCAGTCTCCAGTGCCCAAAATTTTGAAAAAAAAAAAAAAAAAGACCCTTCCTCTGGGTTATACTCACATTTCTAAGAACTGAAGGTACGTACAATCAATGATGACATTTTTGGTAATGACTTCTCGGCCATAAAGTTTCTCATAAATTCCCAGTAGATCTTTGATGGGCACATACCTGAGAAATGCATTAGAATAAAATAAGAGACGTTTTGATTCTGAAGCTGAAGACAACAATAACAGCTATTCTATGGTTATTCTGGCCAGATACCATGCAAGGGTTTTCACGTGTACTGGTTACTGAATCCTACCAGTGACCTTGGTGGGTACTAACATGTCCCCATTTTATATAAGAGGTAGCTGAGGCAACAGAGAAGTTAAAAATTTGTTCAGTGATGCAGAGCAAACAGCACCTTAATCAAATATTTATGAAGGTATAAAAATTGAAAACTAACTACAAATAACTCAAAGGGGGTATAATTTTGTGAATTTAGATTTCAAGAAGCAATTTTAAAGTAGCCTCATTTTTTTGAGTTAAATTATTCTCAAGAATCATTTTTTTTAAAAAATCAAATATAGCTCCTTACTAAAATATGCTTCAGAGTGTCTCCCTTATTTTGTGCTGCATACTCTAAGTTCAGCTTTGGGTTTATAGACACTAGTTATTTTAGTTGGAAAAGATCAATATTTTAAAATTAGATTTGAACAATCTTTTATCATAAATTCAAAATCCATAGACTCTCTGTAACAAGGCAAAAATCACAACCAATAGAATACGTCTTAATTATATTTGCAAGAAAGAAGGGATTGGGGAGTCTAATTTTTATTTTATAAGAGTTCTGGAATGGTCTTCCCAATGAAAATAGCTTGAAAGGCCGGAAGGGGGAAAAATCAACAAAAATATTTATTTAAATGAATCACTAAACTAGCAAGAAAGCAAAAATTTTCCAAAGACCAAAAACAAATAGAAACTGAAAGCTTTGGGAGGTAAGCACGCAGGACCTCAGCTGCTACTCTGGGGACACCCGCCAAGGGACTGGCAGTTGTGATGGCAAGTGGGAGGCAGGAGATGGAGCACAGGAGCCACCTGAAGTGAGCCACAGAGGAGGTCTGCACCCTGTCTAGAAAACAGAAGGCCAGGTGTCCGCCATGAGTGAGAGACAGAAAGAATCCAGCACCACCCAGCAGAGCCGAGAATCTACCATCTCCACCCTGGTATGGAGAGGGGGGAAAAACCCTCTGTACTGGGGAGCCACACGTCACTCTGTCCACAAAGGTTTTGCCCCACAACCACGTTACTGCCCAGTGGGAAGACTTCCGGGGCTAAAGGTAATTTAAGGGGTCCTCAGGTGGCCTACAGAGGCCAAGGAAAACCCTCTCTAGAGGGAAACACGAGCCCAAGACATGCCCCAAGTAATTCAAGCACCATGGAGTACAACCCAAAGATACCAGTCTAACCACAGGCACATCTGATGACGTAGACATTAAGGCAACAAGCACTGCTAGGGATGAAGAGCCCCCATCAGGATGAAAAAAATCAGTTCACCAGCTGTCAGAGTTGGTGGCAGATAAATAAATGCAATGGAGTTTTAGCTGGCCATAAAGGACAAAATTATGTCATTTTCAGGAAAGTGGATGGAACTAGAGACCATAACTTTGAGTAAAATAAATCAGACTCAGAAAAGTATCATGATTTCTCTCATATGTGAAATGGGGGGCCGGGGGCACCATGAAAGAAGGGAGACCATTGCATTGGAGTAGGTTGGGGCAGGAAGTAGGAGGGGACATTGGGAGGTGAAATTGATGGAATTACATTTCTAGGTATACACAAATATGCCACAGTAAACCCGCCATGCCGCATAATCTTATATCAATTAAAAAAGATATAAGACTTTGAAACGTGAATGTACCTAACACTGTCTTTAAAACACTAGCAAACACTGATGGAACAGGGAGAATTTTTAAAAACCCACCATCCCAAGGTCAGTTTTTAACACAAATTTCTCTCTCAGTAATCGTTAGATCAACCTGACAAAAAATAAATACTAAGAATATCTTAGTTATCGCTTACAAGTCTTATGATTTGCATGGTAGATGTAATAAGGAGGAGCTGATAAAATAACCATTTACATTAAACAAAAAAAAAAACTGAAGAATTAACATTCATTTCAAGGTCTCATGAAATAGTTACAAAAATCTACCATGTTCTAGGCTATAAATTAAGACTCGATAAATTTCACATAAGTCCAATAAAGGTAAAAGGAAGAAAATAGAAATAGAAAATAATAAAATAGAAAATTAACATATATAGGATCAATCAAGTTTGTTCTTTAAAACAAAATGTGGAATATTTTAGAAGATAAATCGTTTGAATATCTGAGAAGGCAGAACACACAGCATTATGGAGAACAAAGGGGACATCAGCACAAACGTGACCCGAGAAAGAAGGAAGACACACGAATGACCTTCTGCCCAAACACCCAGGTGAAGCGGGAAAGCCCTAGAAAAGCACAAAACTCCTTACGAAGAAACGGAAAGACCCCAAAATCCTATAATTATTAAAGAAATTTTTGGGGAGTCCCAAAAGGAAAGACACCAGGACTAGAGAGCTTTCCAGGCAAATTCTGTCAAACATTCAACGGATCAAAGCCTGAACCTTACACAAGCTTCCTGAGGATCCAAAAGAGCACTCCCCGTCTGCCTTCATGAAGCCAGGATGACCTCGATACCAAGACCAAACAAGCACAGGGGAAGTGAGCAGCCACACAGCTCACCCCAGACAGCGATGAGACAGAGAGCACACATGATAAAGATGACACGTGACGACAAAATCAGTTTTTTCCCCAGGCAAGAAGGCCGATTTAATAGGAGCAAATAGATTAATATAATTCACCATATCAAGAAGAAATAAGTGTTCCAACCAATATAGAAAAATGTTCAATGTCATCTGATATTAATTTGTAAATAAAAATTACTAACAACCTAGAAATACATGGAAATTTTCCTACTTTGATAAAGGGAATCCACAAAAATACACAGCAATTTAATAGTGAAAACTTCAAAGCATTTTTTTTTTAAATATCAGGAAAAAAAATAAGTATGTTAAATATCACCATTGCCATCTCTCATTGTTCTTGAGATATTAGCCAGGGTGATAGAGCAAGAAAAAAAGAATTAAAGGTATATGGATTGAAAAAGCAAAACAAATGATCACAATTTGCAGATTATTTTACTTGTTTATTTTTATGTGGTGCTGAGGATCGAACCCAGGGCCTCGCACATGCTAGGCGAGCGCTCTACCACTGAGCCACAACCCGAGCCCCTTCAATTTGCAGATTATAAATTTTGAATCTAAAATAAAAACCAGATCAGTTATTATAAAAGATATTTAGAAATGTTGCTAGATATAAAACAAACAAACAAACAAAAAATCAAACTAAAACATCCCTTGCAGCCAGGTACAGTGACACACGCTGAGGATCACAAGTTCAAGACCAACCTCAGCAAATCAGCAAGGCCCTAAGCAACTTGGGGAGAGCCTGTCTCAAAATAAAAAATAAAAAGGGCTGGGGATGTGGCTCAGTGGTAAAGTTCTCCTGGGTTCAATCCCCAGCCCCTAGCCCACCAAAAAATTCAGTTGCATGTCTGCGTACCAGCTATCAATTCGAAAATGTAACTTAAAAATTACCATTTATGGTAACAAACAAAATCTTCGGACTAAATCAAATAACATGTATAAGAGCTTGGTGGAAACACTTATAAAATGTTAAAGTCAATTAAGAAAACTTAAAACATAAAATATATTTATGGAGAAGACAACAATATTTCTGAATTACTGATTCTCCTCCAATTCATCTCTAGATTGAACATACATCTAATCAAAGTTCCAACAAAATTTTCTTAGAACAGGTCAGTGTGGTCCTAAATTGTACCTGAAAAGCAAAGGCAAAGAATAGACAAGGCACCTTTGAAGGAAAAGGATAAAGGGGCACAGGAGCCCTGGGGAGGTCAAAAGTCCTAGTGCTACAGCGTGGGTACATTCACATCCTCCTACAGTCAGGACCACCTGGTGGTAGAAATGAATGGACCTACAGCTCGTCATACCAATGTGATTAACTCCCAAAGACCATTTTGAGCAAAATAATTGCAGGATAATATATACTATGCAATTGCCTGTATCTAAAGTGAAAACCCATATCATATTCTGCACCTGGACACATACATGTGTTAATAAAATTATGAGAAAAGCAACAAAATCTTTAAGAGGAGGCCTGGGGGACAGCAGTTAGCCCTGGTGGAAAGAAGGTGGCATGACTGAGGAGGTATGGGAGCTTGTAAGGATCCACTCGTGCTCCATTTCTAAAGGTGAGCAGTAGCTACAGGTGTGCATGACTTCTTCTTCTTTTACTTACACACATTCTTTTATACGTTTGGTATAATTTATAACTTCTGAAAAAACTACTTGGATCTTTTTTGTTTGTAGTACTGGGGATTGAACCCAAGGGTGCTCTACCACTGAGCTACATCCCCAGACCCTTCTATATTTTAGATGGGGTCTAAATTGCCCAGGCTGGCCTTGAACTTGCAATCCTCCTGCCTCGGCCTCCTGTGTTGCTGGGATTACCAGTGTGTGCCACCATGCCTGGCTCTTACCCTATTCTAATCCAACTTTGCCTTTCAAAATTTACAAATGCAGTAAAAATGGAACCACCATATGATCCAACAACACCCTCTGGGTAGATACCAAAAGGAATTTTCAGAACGTCCAAGAGGCACCTGCACTCTTGTGTGTACTGCAGTGGCATTCACAACAACAGGGAATGAAATCAACCGGAGGGTGTGGACGGAGGAAAGTTCAAGAAAGTGGTGCCTGTTCTAACCGTTGTGGAAGGGATGACCCTGAACAAGAGCTTGCTGTATCCCACCAGCTCCTGTCTCCCCACAATCACGCCACCTCAGGTGGAACCGCTGCGCTAGGCTTCCTCTGAACCACTTTGCTCTTCAACGGTTTCATTACATACATGTGTTCACATGCAGCACAGTACCTGGGTTTTCACCTTGGATAAATGGAATCACATAGTATGTACTCTGCATATTTTGTCTAACGTTCTGCCTCTGCGGCCTTGTGGGTGGACTCGGAAGGCAGGCACAGAGGGACAAGGACCGCACCATCGCACTCACAACACGGGCTGGAAAAGCTGATCTTGCAGAAGGAGAGGGCACAGCAGGGGTCTCAGAGGCTGGGAGAGGAGCAGGAGTCGAGAATGGGGAACACTGGCCAACAAGTACAGAGTTCAGGATGGAAACAGGCTCTCGGGTGCCGTCATGCTGTGGGTGGACTGCAGTTAACAGCCACCACGTGTTTCAGAATAGCAAGGGGATTCTGAGTGGTCTCACAAGTGACTGGTAGATGCTTGAATGATGGGCACATTATCTATCCCGAGTCGATTGTTACACAGGTCAGAACGTGCAAACCATCACACTGCACCCCATAAATATGAACAATTATTAAGGGGTAACAAAGTAAAACCTAAAGAAGTTTTCTACCTAGACTTTAAGTTATGTTTTCTAAGAAAGATCCTAAACGCCACTTAGATTCACATAATTGAAAGTATATGGCTTGCTCTTACCAGCGCCGCGCGAGGTAATTATAATTGAATTCAAACTGACTCAGCACATCTCCTCCTGTGGTATGAGAAGAATATTTACTTGGTAGATGAGTGACAACACAGCACGCTGCTTTCCACACAAGTTGCAAAGCCGGTAAACACTCCTTCACGTTGCTATGTACTAGAGATTGAACCCAGCGTGCTCTACCAGTGAGCTTCATCCCTATTCACTTCCTTTTCATTTTTTATTTTGGGAAAAGGTCTCTCTGGCCTTGAACCTGTGATCCTCCAGCCTCAGCCTCTTGAATCACTTGCATGGCTCTACTATACACAGCTAGAAAAAAGCAATTTTTAAAAAATCTTATCTAGCCAAGCACGGTGGACACATCTATAATCCCAGTGACAGACACAAGAGGTGGGACAGGAGGATAGAGTGTTTGAGGCCAGCCTCAGCAATTGAGTGAGACCTGTCTCAAAATGAAAAATCTATCGATCAATCAATAAATGAAGTTTAAAAGCTAATGAAGTATATGCATTAAGAGTTATCCATATAACCAAAGATTTTTTGTTTTTGTTTTATTTTAAGGAAAAAAATAGACCATAAGTGTTCTTTTAAACTAACATTTACCTCTGTGCAAGGAAATTTACCACAGAAAAAGGGGGAATTTACCAATCAAAAGATGGATTATCGGGCTAAGGTGGTGGCTCCGTGGAAGGGCACCTGCCTAGCATGTGTGAGACACTGGGTTCAATTCTCAGCACCACATATAGATAAATAAACATATGAAAGACCATTGATAACTAAAAAAAAAAAAAAAAAGAAGTAGTAGTATCAGATTAGGAGACACAAGTTAATAAGTTTTAATCCAAGTAAAGTTTTTCTAAAATTATGACACAAGTTAGTGACAAAATGAGTGGTTTTTAAAATAAAAACAAACAACCAGATGCAACTCTTTAGAAACCTCTCTCTGTTGGCTGAGGCGCACCTGCACTCAAAACGACCGCAATGTGAAACACAGAACGGCATCTAACATAGCTCCTAGCAACGACGACAGCAGCAGCAGCATATTCAGAGCACAGGGATGACCTCATCACAAGGGCTCTGCTGCTACCACAGGAGGAAACCTGCAAATGAGCACAGTACCAAAGTCTCCAGCGGAGTGGGCCTCAGAATAGGAGCCGTGAAAGTCCATCTGAAAGAAAGCAAGCATCTGGTCGGGACTGAACTGCAGCCCCGCCCTCAGCCCACAAGCCAGCGGTCAGCAGGGAGGCAACAGCTGAACCAAGCAACTGCCGCGGACCCTCCGAGGGGCTCGAGTGTCACAGCAGCCCGTCCTGGGCAGGGGAGCTGGCGGCTCCAGGCTCCCTGGGTCCCAGTGTGCACCTCCAGCCGAACAGAATGAGTACCAGCTGATGACCAGATGGGTCTTTCAGGAGCACAGTGGCCAGGGGAGGTCACAATCAGATATGGCATTTTCATATAGAAAATTAGAAAGACCAAGGGCAGCTAGGACTCTGAAATAGAGCCAGCGGCCTAGGACCCGGCTGGAGTCAACTGAATCAGAACATCTGCTGCCCTGAGGAGTGCCCGGGAGCACTTCTGTCCTTGTGGATGAGTCACCTGGGCATCACGAACAGAGGAAGGGACAGGAAAGGACGGAACTCTGCCCGACAGCGAGCGAGCGCTCCGGGCGACGAGTCTGCTTCCACGTGGCACTCAATTAACCTGAGGTTTCTGACCTTGGGCCCCAAAGCTTCACCCATAGGAGACGGGTACTCACAGCGCTCATGGTCCTGAGGAACCCTTGTTCAATGCCCAGACTGTGCCAGCTGACGTCTGCCACCATATGCGAGGTGATTCCAAACAAGAAAGCCACCAATTTCTCTGTGTCCTGCCAAATAATCAAATTATAGTCATTGTGTTTGGCTTATTATACATCAATGTCCTATAAAAATGTCTTAGATATTAATTTATTTTCCTTTTTGAGGCTTAACAAAAAAATTAAAGGTGGGCACATTGCTCTAGTTACTAAAAATTAAATAGAATGTTTTGAAATGTTTTGTAGTGTCTCGGAACTGCCTTCAGATCCACTACCAGTGGAGACAAAATGACCAACTACATACCCCTGATTTTTTCATGTCTTAATTCAAGTGTGAACTAGGTGCCTAAGGTGGTCCAGGCACTATAGGTGCAATGGTAAACAGCTGTCACAGAGGAGGGTGTCAACTCAGGCACAAAACGGTCCTTGACAGGTGTGGGGTGCATTTCTTCAGGAGTAGAGGGTGGGGCCTACCTTCTCCCAGGGCAGTGGGTAGTTCTCGCGGATATAATGGACGCTTGCATTAAGGAACGGAGTCCAGTGAGTGCTCTCAGACACGTCATGGTATTTTCCTGACAAAGCAAAAGCAGGGCTCTGGATTCCCAAAAGTTGAAGGGTCTCATGCAAATCCCCCGTCGCCACCACTGGGCTGCCCTGTCCCTTCCCCACGCTCCCCCGGAAACCCCCTTGCTTCTCCGCAATGCTCAAAGGAGGCCTGCAAAGCAGATGCAGTTTCCTCTTTTGGGGAGTTTTAAATCTCTTCTTTGTCCATCATAGTCAGCCTTCCTAAGAGCTCAAAAGAACAAAAGCAGATCCTCAAAGCCTTTCAGCACAAATTTATGACAATTGCCATTAAATGTCACAGGACCCAATGAGTAGTTCACGCAAGCATCACTGGGGTAGGCCAGAGGGTGTCCCACATCACCTCTATTCCCCCACAAGGGCGGGAAAGACAGCGCTGAGTCTGTCTGAACTCCCCAGTGCCACAGATTCTTCACAGGGTGCCAATGTCACCAGACACCTGGAAGCAACACTCCTGAGCTCAGATTCCTCACTTCAGATTTTTTTTTAATGCTATGGCCAAAATAAAAACTAAATATAAGTTTAAGTCATTAGTTTTTCTGAAAATGATTTTCAAAGGTGGAACTAAGAAATTTGAGCTGCTCCAGCGGATTTCTGGAGATGAAATATGAAATGCTTCCTGTTTCCGGGATACAATAAAAATCCAGAATCAAGTAAAGCAGTAGTTCTACTCGTCCACACTGCAGATTAGTCAGAGATCTCCAGTCCTTTGGTGGATGGCGCAGACGGGACCAAGGGCGTGCTGCATGCCAGATGCCAGCCCCCAGCGAGCCCCTGTGCCATGCCGGAGCTCCTCTGGGCACACCTTCCTGGCCCTGCGACTCTGCATCATGCACATCTGCTTCTCCTATGGAAAGCCCCGCCTCTGTCCCATCAACAGTTGCTTAGCTTGGCCTGTTTGGCAACACAAAATGCCACTTCTTATACAATGTAAAACTGCTCTCTTTGGTTCCCGTTTTTCTTGGACCATGTACCCTGTCAGGGATTGTCTAGATGTCAGTAAACATTCTTGCGCTCAACTAGGGACATTTTCACCCACTCCCCTTTCTGCTTATGACTTTAGATCTCGTTTATGGTTTTGAATCATAGCAACAGACACTTATGATTTTTTTAATATCTATTTAATTTTTTAGTTGTAGCTGGACACAATACCTTTATTTTATCAATTTGTATGTGGTGCTGAAGCTTGAACCCAGGGCCTCATGCATGCCAGGCAAGTGCTTTACTGCTGAGCCACCCCCGAAACTTATGATTAATATGGTTTTGGACTATAAAAGGTATACTCAACCCCTGGAGGGGGCCGAAGATGGTAGACTTGCAGCCTTCCTGGCGGCCCTCCAGCTGGTAGATCCAGACTTCTGTCTGGTGAATAAAGTTTCTGTCTCCTGCTTTAAGATCGACTCAGTGATTTATTGCAATCTCGCCTTAACAGTTACCAGGAGGGGTGGTATACACTCCTGTAATCAGGAGGCTGAGGCAGGAGGATTGCAAATTCAAAGCCAGCCTCAGCAACTCAGCAAAGACCTAAGCAACTCAGCAAGTCCCCGTCTCAAAATAAAATATTAAAAATGGCTGGGGATGTGGCTCAGTGGTTAAGCACCCCTGGGTTTTATCCCCGGTACAAAAAAAAAAAAAACAAGGGGTAGTTAAAATGTCAAGAACAGTCAAGCTCTCATGAATCCAATTTGGGAAATGCTAAAGTAGAAATGACAGGTTAGAAAGGAGGAGAACTATAACACCCCACCAGCAAAATAAAAGGACTATACATGACAGGGTTGGGGTGGCTCTCTTGGTCAGCACTTGTTCGACATGCCCGAGGCCCTGGGTTTGATCCCCAACATCACAGGGGGAATAAAAAAAACAGGGAAATTTTTACCAATATGACAAGTGCACAGCTTGGCTGCCTGGGATACTAACTATGGGAACAAGTCACCCTAAACATTTCATCAACCCAGACAGACATCACTGTAGGAAAAAAACACAGAGAATCCTGAAACTGGAAGCGGTTTCCGCCATGGCACGGTGTCCCAGGGAGCTAGACGGCTTTCCTTCATGCCAGAGCCTGTCTCCACCCTCTGCCTACTGGTGACTCCAACGTCACCTGCTTCTGTTGACTTCTTTCTTTGTCCCCTGGCTTTGGTTGGGTTTGTCTTGTGGAAAGAACGGGAGAGCAGAGCAAAGGACAAGAGTGAGGCTGGGTGCTCATGCTCCCAGCTCCCTTCCACGGGTGAGTGGGCTGCGGTGGCCCTAGCCGAGGCCCTCCTCCTGTCACGCTGCCTGACAGCTCCCTCTGCCCACCGTCCTGGTGGTCTCTCCCCTGCCATTCCCAACTTCCTGTCCACACCTTTGGGACAGCACCTGGTTAAAGATCAAGTACTCAGTTGACTGTGCCTCTCACACCCCTTGGGGCCTGATGGGCACAGCCTCGAGCCCAGTTTATGGGCAGCACCACCTTCGACTTGCTCAGCACTCAACAAAGGATTCTGCATGAACGCCAGCGTCAAGGCAGTGACGAGGCAGGGCGGGCATTGTCACTGCTACGTTAGACACAGAAACTGACACCACGTGGAAGGGACTTTTCCCAAGTCCAGACCAAGAGGCAACATAGAAGGAAGGGGACTCAGACCCTTTGATCTCCTGTAAAATGTTGTCTCTGACGCTGCAGAGCACTAAAGCAAGCAGGCTGCTTAGAGTGGCTCAGGTTTTCAGTGCTCCAGGGGGGAAGTTTGGATAAACGGAAAAAACAACCTGGGAACGAAGTCACTGCCTGGCTGGGAAACAGGTCTTAGGTCACCTCCATTCCTGTTAACCAAGCAGAAGGGACCCGGTTCCGTCGACAAGCCATCATCTTACCTCCTTTGCAGAAGCTGGGGTAAAAAGAATCGGGAAACACGGTCCCAGCCTGATACGCATCCTGGTGTTCCAGTAACAGCTGGGGAGCAGGAAAACACAGAGATTAGGGGGCAGAGCAGCAGCCTTGGAATCACAAGCCCGTGGACTTCCAGCTGCAGGAGGAGGCAGGCAGTGTGTGGACTTCCAGCTGCGGGAGGAGGCAGGCAGTGCGGGCAGATCGAGGATGACAGTTCATGCTCCACCCAAAACAGCACCCTGGGATGCATCTTCAAGTTCTTTCCTACCAAGCAGGAGCAGGCTAATTAAAAAGCAAAAATCACCTACTTAAATTCCACTTCCTTTCATGTTCTGTCTACCCAGTAGGGCAAGACCTCCTGAAAGCTATTTCACGGACCTGGAGCTGGTGGGGTCATTTTATGACCCACAGTGAATTGAGAAAAATGCAGAGACTAGATGAGGTAGGTAGGGATCTATGGAAGGCTATCCACACACGTATGTATCAGCTCACAGTTGCTACCTGTGCATTAGAGTAGGACCATGCACTTTGTGCTTCCAGAGAGTGAGAGAAACATCCTTTTCCCTTTAACACGAGGTGAAAGTAGACATTCTTCCTTGGCGGGTGGCTCGCTCAGCTCCATCCCGACTCCCTCGCGGCATGCAGGCGGCAGGGCTAGAAACTGACTGCACTTCCGCCCTGCGTCCTCCATGGGCCCACGGCTTCTGCTACCTGGAGGCTGTGGTGCCGAGGCCCCTAATGTGCTCCAGCACCCCTGTGTCCTCAAGAAGAGTTCAGAGCATGCAGTCGCTGAGGACTGCTATGGTGGAGTCTCAGGGCCAACAACAGTCAGGGGGTGGCTACTGCTGCTGCTTTTTTTCTTTTTTTGGCAGTACTCCTGGGGAGGAGCCCAGGGCCTGGGCACATTAGGCAAGTGCGGTACCCTGCTCCACATCTGCAGCCCTGTTATTTTCCACACCACGTGCAAGCCTGTTGAATCTGCGCCTAGAGAAGGGGACCTGGCCATGTGACAACAGTCAGGGAGCGGGTCCCTGGCAGCCAGGTCCACGTGTCCTTCTGGGCGTCTTCTCCGGACACTTGGCTCGCGGCTGCCCCTCTGTCCTCACAGTCTGAGCAGTGAGTGCCTAATTCCTGGCACGGTGTCCTCTCCTGCCTTGCCAGCCCAGGAGTTTCCAAGATCTTCACAAAGACGGAGGAGCATAACGGGCGAGGAAAAGTGGGCAGCCCAACCGCCTCCTCTTCAACCAGGGCTCACTCATCATGTGGACCAAAAACGGAGGCAAAGAAGTCCCCCGAGAACATGACCCACGAGGACAAGACGGCAGCACTTGCTTCCTCTCCCCAGTTTTCACAGAACAGAATCACCCCTCCTGAGGTCAGCCTGTGCCCTGAGGAGCCCTCGGGGCTGACCCCTGGAGCAGCAGGTGGCACTCTCATCCCTGCCACGTGCTTGGCTCAGAAATGGACACTTGCTAGGAGCCAGAGCTGGGGAAAGTGCTCTTCTTTCTGGGGCTGCAGAGTCTGGGGCAGGGTCCTCCGAGTGGAGAAAGAGACCACAACTCACCCTGGGGGCCTAGTTCCACCCCAGGGCTGTCAGTCACCTGGATCAATAAACTCTCTCCCTCCCCCGACCAAAAGATAGCCCAGTTGGACTTTTGTCCCTTAGAAATAATAATTAACTTCATGGAACATTTATCTTGCCAGCTACAGGCCTAACTGCTTGACATGCGTGGGACTTGATGAATCTGCTCCTCTCCCGAGGTGGGTGTGTCACTTAACATGGACAAATAATTCTGAAGTCAACTTTGAAAAACAATAAAAGTGTGCAAAAGAGTGGGGAAGAAAGAGTCCTGAGGGAGGTTGAATCCTCCGGGTACATTTTTAAGCTACAGAAACAAATACAGTTTGATACAGGAGCCAAAGGAACAGACCGTGAAATAGAAAAGAGCAGAGAGAGACTTGAGCACGCGTGTTACGTAATATGTGACAGATGCAGGCCGAGGGGACAGTCAGCAAATGACCCCATCACTGCCCTATGCACGGGTGCACCATGGATACACCACAAACGGGTTCCGTGCTTCACCCAGGTGACTTGCAATTTATATCAAAAAACAGGTCACTGGATGGATCCCTATTACGGTCTCTATCAAAATAGACCTGGGATGGATTAGAAAGCTGAGGTCAATAACTTACAAATTTAGGGGCTGGGGTAGTGGCTCAGAGGTAGAGTGCTCACCTAACATGCGTGAGGCCCTGGGTTGGACCCTCAGCACCACAAATATAAAATAAAGATATCGTGTCCACCTATAACTAAAAAAAAAAAAAAAACCTAACAAATTTAGGCAAATAATTGCCTAAGCATGGAGGGGAAATGTTTTTTCCATATATAGGTAGACACCATAAAGGCTGAACACTTAACCACACAAAAATGTAGGAGTTCTGTGTCTAACAGCTCCAGGTACAAATTTAATAAAAAATAAACATGAGTCATTTGACAGATTAAGTGCTAATATCCGAAGAATGATTCTTATACATCAAGATAGATATAAAAATAAAAAAGTGAGCAAAGAGCATAGGTAATTCACAGAAGTGATAGGAATGGTCAACAAGCACTTGAAATGTTTAACCTCACTTAATAAATTATGATTACAATACTAACTCAAACCTATAGCCACATACCATTCTTAAGCTACCAAATTAGCAATGATGAAAAATAAAAATTAAACCCTAAAAGCAAGAGTGCTACCAAATTTGAAAATTCTACTCAAAAAAAAAAAAAAAAAAAAAAGTCAATAAAGTGGGCACAGCTCAGGGGTAGAGCACTTGCCTAGCATGTGCAAAGTCCTGGTTTAATCCCCAGAACCAACAAAAACAAAAATCAACAAGCTGGAAAGAGTTAGTGCTGTTTCCTCCTGTGCGACATTAGGTTCATCTACATATTTTTGGTCCACGGTTCCTGGCTCATAGCTTCCCCCCAAAGGCCAGCCATAAAAACTAGCATTTCTCTTCCCCACGGCAGGTCACAGAGGCTCCGCCTTGTACCTGGCCATGAAGAACCCTCTGACCAACCTGCCTGATAACCAGCCCCCCAAGAAAGGGTCCTGCCCCACACATGCAAGGGAGGAATGTGGAGGAACAGCACCGACAGGACTTGCCTATGTCCCTGCCCGTCTGTCACCACGAGGTCCCACCCTTCCCACCCAGCCACATTTCCACACAGCCAACCCTCCTAAAGCCGTGCCTATCAGTGCAATCTCCATAAAGCCCCAAAGGACAGTGTTTGCAGAGCTTCTGGACAGCTGTGCCCAGGGAGGGCCACAGGAAGATGCCACCCAGGCACCGGGAGGGTGACTCGCCCCAGCTCCCAGGAGGAAGCGCCCAGGGCTCAGTGCTAGGGACTCTTCCACTCCTCTCCGGCCACTGATTTCTGGCGTTTGTAACACCCTCTATGGGAAGTTTGTAAGGATTGTGTTCCTGACTTCTGTGAGCCACTGTGGCCCCTGTGCCGAACTTGAGGAGGAGGCATCGGACCCCCGATTTGTAGCCAATCTGCCAAAAATTTCAGAGGCCTGACTTGTAACTAGTAGAGTCAGAACTGACCTGGATCAGAGGACACCCCGTTGGTGATGGCTGCTGCTTGCTAGTGGGGAGGAGCCCCCACACCCTCTGAGGTCACAGCCTTCGGTGCCCATCATGGTGGTGTGGGAGTGCAGGAGAAACCGTCATTTCTCCTACCCTCCTCTTGCACTTATGTCTTCTCTACATGTCTGTCATTTAGAAGTTTTGTTTTGTTTTGTTTTTCATCTATTTCTGGGCCCAGGGGATTCAGCCGGCAGTGCCACAGTAAAGGGGATGTGTCACTCGTGGTCAAGATGCTAATTTCATGCAAGGAGATTAAGCATGAAAATAAACATTGAAAACAGAAGCAAGGCGTCTCGGCAGGGGAGAAAAGAGTCACACATAGAGACACAGAAAAGGCTAGAAATAGATCCTGCGAGATCAAGTCAGAATTGGCTGTGTTTTCATGGGATTTATAGTTTTAAATAGGACATAGATAATCAGTTGACAGACAGACTAGACAGCCAACATGAAGCCAACTCTGAGAACTAAACCAGGCATGGCAGCACATGCCTGGAATCCCAGCAACTCAGAAGGCGGAGGCAGGAGGCTCACAAGTTCAAGGCCAGCCTCAGCAACTTAGCGAGGCCCTGTGTCAAAATTAAAAAATGAAAATTTCTGGGAATATGGCTCAGTGGGGAGCAACCCTGGATTCAATCCCAGTACCAAAGACTAAGAATAGCAATGTACTATAAGACACCGAGTAGAAGAACAACCCGCCGTCCTGAGGAGACAGGTAAGTGGATGAGCTAGAGTTAAAGCCACCTTCTAGCACAGTGCCAACCGAGAAATGCAGGAGACAGGCAGGATCAGAAACTCCACTTGGCAACCATCATCACCACAATCGCCTCGGGTACGAATCGCCCATGGGTGCTAAAACCAGCAGGCACAAGTTGGGTGAGAAGCGGGATGTTTACTCAGCCTCACCAGCTCTCTCCACAAAGCACTTACTCCCTGATGAGTTAAAAAGTAGAAAATGCTCATTAACTTTCCAGTGTCAAAACGTGGCAGATGCCACTTTAACCAAGAGATGTCAACTAACATCCCTAGGACATCTGCTTCCAGAAAAATAGATGACAGACACACTCTTCCCTACTCCTCCCCTTAAAGACAATGGAGAAGCTGGACACGCAGTGAACAGGGCCTCCCCATGAAGACCAGAGTGCACATCAGCCAGGATCGGCACTTCAGGTGACAGTATGGCGACTTCTCTGGGGTTTTGTTTTCTTTGGTTCTTGTACCCTGAACTGGGTTCTGGAAGAGCCACCACCTGGAATACATGGGACACAGACATAAAAACAAACAAAGCCTGTTCCTCTAGCCTCAGGGCCAGAAAAGAGCAGCCTAATGAGACAGAAAACGTTTAATAACCTCTGTTCAGCCATCGCCACAGGTGAAACCGTGGACCCAACCTGCCCCATCCACTGAGGCCCCGTGAGCAGCCCAGACTTGCACCTGGCCAGGCTGTGAGAAGGCCCATGTCCTTCTGGGGTGAGGTCTCAGAGGCTGAGGAGGGGACAGGAGGAAGGTGTCCTGCCCTGCCCATATTTGGGGTAAATAGGGTCACCAGGAGAGTCCGGACTCCCAAGCCAATCTGCAGTAATGAGGGGTCCCTCTTCTCCCCACTGGGCTGGGGTCAGAAGAGGCCCAGGGGAGTCAGGCTTTCCCACCACTCTGCCCACCGCATCAGCAAGGCCAAGAGAGAGGCAGCAGTTACCACCCCCACCCCCAGCCCCAGCCCCAGCCAGGCCAGTCTCAGTGGAGGCCGAGTGTGGAGGCTGTGCTCCCAGCCTTCCCTCACAGTGGTGTCAGAAGCACACAACTGAAACAGGAGGTTTAAATGAGATCCAGAGTCCCACAACCATACATCCATAGGTCCAGGTTTCACCCCAAATCATTCACCACACCAGGAACAGCAAAGGTCTCAAACCTCAGAATAGATCCCAGCATTGCGATGTCAGAAATGCTGCAGTTCTCTGACAAATGCTGTCAAGCAGCCACCATAATGTTTCAGCAGTCAAATATGACCACACTGGAGAGAAAACAAAGTCTCAGCAAAGAAACGCAAGATACGAAGAAGAACCACGTGGAAGTCTAGAAATACAAGGTACCAGAGAAGGGACAGACTGGCAGTGCATTCCTCCTGATGCTGTCAGTGAGAAGAACGCTGAATCTCCAAAGTCCTCCGAGAGCCTCACAAAAAGGTGTGGCCTTCAGGGACTCTAGCTATGAGGCACACGAGAAGAACCCCAATTAAGGTGCATTCCACAGTACGATGCTGGACTCCTCAAAAGCACCCAGTTATTAAAGCCACGGCCGGCTGAGGAGATGCTCTCGTCTGAAGCCAAAGAGGACCGACAATAGGCCTACACTTCATTCACTCCTGCTGAGGCTCATCCTGGACCCACGAACGGCATTCTGCAGACGACCCGTGAAATGTGAACGAGGGCCTAGAATTGGGCAGTGGTCCTCCTGTGATGCCGACTTCCAATCCTGGTTATTATACCGTGGTGTATGGGAAATGTCCTCCACGTTAGGAAACTCACAGAGACGTGTTAAAAGGTAGTGAGTACCACAGTAACAACCAACCCACAAACGACTCGGGGAGACCAACGCGCCCAAGTTGGGAGGATGAAAAGGCAGGTACCATAACCTGTCGACAGTTGGAGAAACTGGAAAGGGCTACGTGGGAATTACTTATCTGGTGTTCCCAGCCTGTCAGGTTTGTGTTATTTCAAATAAGCTAAAATAGAGAATTGGTTAAATAAATGATGCTAGCTCTGGATAACATAAAAGTGCATAATTAAAATTATTCTGAAGATTTCTATTTACTGACATTGAAATATATCTTCTAGTAAATGAAAAAAGTTACAAAACTATGTATAACGTGATCTTTTTTTTTTTAAAAAAAGAAAGTACAGAGAAAAAGAATATACCTGAAATAATGTAAAGCAAGACACTAACTAATATTGGTTACTTTAAGGTATATAATACACATTATATTTATATATGTATGTGCATATATGTTATATATATATGTGTATATGTGTGTATGTGTGTATATATATATATAATTTTTTTTAACTCATGAGCTTCATATCAGTTTTATAATCAGAAAGGACAAAAGTTTTCTCCATTGTGAGGGGCGGAGAGGGTGACACGCTGCGCTGATTCCATGCTAACACCCACATTCTATTCAGAATTCTATACAGAAAGGGTAAACGGGGACAATAGTGACTACCAAAGTGAGGTCACTGGGGTTCCCCAGCTCCTACAAATTTATAAACCGATTTTCCCCGCTTTATGATCGACTCTATGAACTTGGTTTGAGCAAGCCAAAGTCTCTGAAGCCCAGTAACCTCTGACCGCGTTGACAAGATGACCCCTGAACCAACCTGTCAGACCCTGAGAATCCTGCCTCACCCTGTCTGTGGGGCTTGTCTCTACACCAACAATTGTCCTTCAGGCCACGTCCCTTAGTGTCATACCACCTGCACTGATGAGTTGAGAAGTCACACAGAAAAGGGTTCAGATGAGAGGAAGGAAAAAGAGCAAGATCCCCAAACGTGAAGATGCGCATCGTCAATCTCTGGAAAGGGCCTCAGTGGTGACGGTGTAACAGGTGAAGAATCCCTGTGTGTGCAGACGCCACACAGGAGGGGCGAGCACTCGGCACCTGGTCATTTCCAACGGTGACATTCAGTGCGTGGATTTAAAGCCTCGCTGCAGGGGACACCTGTGTCCATTAAGCTCATCCTACCAGCGTGAACTCTACTGGAAACCACTCTGCACACTTGGGGCTGACGGGCCACAGGCTGAGGCCGGCAGGTTCCTGCTTCTCCTTCCCACATACTTTGCTTCGAGATCAGTGACAACATCCACCAGATATAAACGCTGCTTTTCCCTAAAGGGTTGGCCAAGGTGGCACCTAAGGAAGCCAGGACTACTGGTGGAAAGTGACTTGGGGATTCAGTCGATCTGCACTGCCTGACCCCGCTTTCCACCTGGATTAGCAAGGCCTCTGGAAATCACCAGGTCTACCTCCGATGTCAGGAGGGAATGTCAACCACCCTGACCAAACTTGCATATTTAAGAATCACCTTTACCACAGATTATTATTTAGCTGTCAAACTAGAAGTGGTGCACAGGGTCAGGACGGGTTCAACTAATTTGAGGGTGGATAAAGGTGAGCCACTAGGAGTCCAAGTCGACCAGGAACACAGAGGGAAGGACATCAGAAGGGGGTCCCAATGTGCTCAGGGGCAGAGGCTGGCCTGGCCTCGCCTGGGTGCCATCCCCAGGGCTGCGAAACCAAACAAGCAAACTTCCTGCTCCTCTGGGTGATGCAACCCACAGACAACAAACAGTGACAGGAACTAGGAAAAAAGCTTCTCTCAAGTGTGACCTCTCTTTATAAAAAGAAAAAGATGCATCGTTTTAAAAATTTCTCTTGTTTTTCCAAGTTATGATTCACATCATTAAAATATTTGCATTTTATAATATCACATATGTAAAAGGTTCAAGTGGCTTTTTAACCGTAATATGAATGACATGAAATGGCTCTTAGGATCAGCCTGTCCGGCCTTGCTGGACACCCACGGTGGAGGTTGATGCAGAGGAGAAAGAGCCAGGCAATACCTTTCTGTAGTCTACGTGACCCTCATGAAGGTGAAGAAACTCCAGAGCTCTGTGTCCTGAAAGAGAGGAACATACACAGGTTATATTCACCTGCACTCAGAGGTCATTTTCAAGGAAAATGCACTATTTTGCAGTCAAAAACTGTCAGGGAAGCGGAAAATGAGGAGGAAGTTCATACTCAGAATTTATTTAGGCCTAATTGCATTCCTATAGTATTTATATTATTACTATGCACATCGGAGCTGCGTGGTGATTTAGTTTCTGTCTACCTAGCTCGGTGACCTGGGGTCAGTACTTGACCTATGCAGGCCTCAGTTCCCTGCTATGGAAAGTCAAGTCACAAGCACCCACCTCCACAGCTGGTGGAGAGAATCAGAAAGTAAACACTAAGTGACAGGCACAGTGGCCAGATGGGAGGAGCCACAGAAGCAGTCATTATCTTATTTTGCCTCAGAATCGAGGTAAATAAACCCGGTAGGAAATATAATATGTAAAACGTGGGCTGCACCAACGGTCACCAGATGTGTTTAACACTGGAACACTCTAATGGGGATCTCAGAAGGCCGCCCACGCCACCCACCACCCTGCGAGCCTTCTTAGGACAGGAAGATTGGCATTCCTTTGAGGAGGCACTCAGGCGACACCTTTTTACCATGAAACACATCCACATCCATTTGTTAAATTCATATAACAAAAAAAACACAGGCCCTCCTACACTGAAGACATGAATGTAAGAGACAAGTCACAGCCTAGAACACTCCACACAGGAGCCCAGTGGCTCGCAGACCAAAGCTCTGAATGAGGCCAGTTTGGACCAGTCAGTTCACCAAAATGTCACCCTTCTACTCAGGCCCAATGTGAGCAATGAGAAAGTGAACCAAGATACTCATCCAAGTAAGCAAACAGTCATCTTAGTCTCCTTTATATAAAAATTCTCAGAATCGGTATAGATTCTATTTCAGGAGTCGCCCTTAATTATGTTCAGCTTTGTAGCAATAAATAACTTTAGATATCCATCAGGATCTTGTGACTACTGAAGAAAGGCGCCCATCTTATAAATTTTCAAACTCTAAAGATTAAAAAAGTTGAATATTTCCATTTATGTCTGTTCCTCTTTAGCTTACTTCTACAGTTTCAGCAATATCACTGAATTTAGTTGGAAAACACTTAGAAGAATTAATATCTACAACATTAAAGAATTCCAAGAACCTAAAACTGGAAAATCAAATAACCAGCCTGGCATATGCTTGTAATCCCAATGGCTTGGGAGGCTGAGGCAGGAGGATCATATGTTCAAAGCCAACCTCAGCAACTTGGTGAGGTCCTAAGCAACTCAGCGAGACCCTGTCTCTAAATAAAATATAATAAAGGGTTGAGGATGTGATTCAGTGGTTAAGCACACTTGGGTTCCATTCCTGGAACCAAATAAATAAATAAATCAAATAACCCAATTAATAAATGAGCAAATGAATTCAACAGACACTTCTCAAAAGAAATACAAATGGCCAACAAATATATGAAAAAATGTTCAATATCATTAGCAATTAGAGGAATGCATATCAAAACTACACTGAGATTTTCTCTCACTCCAATGAGGACAGCAGTCATCAAGAATACTAAATAATAAATGCTGGAGAGGATGTGGTGCTCAATTACCCTCTGCCAGAGGTGTAAATGAGCACAATCACAGTGGAAATTAGTAGAGGTTCCTCAAAGACTAGGCCTAGAGCCAACATATGACCTGGCTATCTTATTCCTCGGCATTTATCCTGAAGAATTAAAGTCCTCACACTACAGTGATACACGCACAGCCAAATAGGGAACCAGCCTAGGTGTCCACCAACAGATGAATGGATAAAGAAAATGGTGTCTACACACGGTGGAGTTTTACTCAGCACAAAGGAACATGAAAATTATGGCATTTTCAGGAAATTGGATGGAACTAGAGACCATCACGTTAAGTGAAATAAGTCAAACTCAGAAGGTCAAGAGTCGGTCGTATGTTCTCTCTCATAGATGGAGGCGAAAAAGGGAAGGGAGGTGGGAGTTCATGAAAACCAGAGGGAGGTCAGGAGAGGAAAGGGACCCAGGGGTGATGGGGGGGAGGTGGACACGTGCTGTGTGCATGGGTGAATGCATACCGACAAATCTCATCCTTATGTACAACCATGACGCACCAACAAAGTAAGGCAGGAAATAAACCCTCTTGTGGGGGGCTCAACGGGTCCTAGAGCAGGAAGTGAGAGGTAAGTGCCTTGCTTGGCCACACACACCTGTAGTGCCCTCTTCTCCATTGTCCCTGCTCCCTGTTCAATGCCAAGAGCAGGGCCGTCAACAAGGTAGCTGTGACACTCTCTAGGATCAGTTTCCTCATCTGTAAAACGCAAGAACTGGGCTCCGCGACCTCTAGTACTCCTCAAATTGTAGAATTCTGTGGTTTTTTCCCCTGTCTGCCATTGCTCAATATCCGGGTCTATTTTGCACTGGTAAATTTTCAAATTTATAATCTTGTTATTCTTTGTAACTTTTAGAGGTGATAAAACCATAATATGATCTCTATTTAAATGAAACCTAGACCATCAGATACATCTGAAATTAATCTGAAAACTGCTATAGAATGTAATCTTTAATTATACTGTGAATTGACCCACATTTTCCTTATGTTAAAAATATTACAAATACAATCCATACACAATATTTTTTTTTTTTTTTTTTTTGGTACCGGGATTTGAGGCCACAGGCATGCTGACACCTCCAGCTCTTTATATTTTGAAACAGGGTCTTGGAACAGCTCCACTAAGCTGCTGTGGCTGGCCTCAAGCTAATGATCCTCCTGCCCCGGCCTCTGGTAACGCTGGGATTACTGGCGTGCACTACCACACCTGGCCCAAATCTTCTTAAGAGATCTTCAGAGTTTTTGCCAAGAATTTACAGCATGCATGTTATTAAGAAGCCACGTTGGGGGCTGGGGCTCAGCGGTAGAGCGCTCACCTAGGAAGTGCGAGGCCCTGGGTTCGATCCTCAGCACCACATAAATAAATAAAATAAAGATATTGTGTCCAACTACAACTAAACAAATAAATATTTTTTTTTAAAAAAAGAAACCACATTGCACATTTATTTGTCAATTATACCTCAAAAAAGCTGGAAAAGTAATTTTGTCTTTAAAAAAATCACGTGACCTACCTACACAAACACCTCTGCCTTTGCCTAAAGGTCGGTGACACCAGCCCACTCCTGCCTCGGTTCTGGGCGGTGACACCAGAGATAGCTCAGATTCCCTGGTCCCCAAGACCTCTTTAAGGCACTTGACAGGGTCCTACCCCCATGGCTCTGGGTGGCCTTTTACATACACTTGGAAATGCCAGTCTTTAGAAATGTAAAACAAAATGAATTCCTCACTCCTCCCTACACCCACTTCCTCCTCCCATCCCGCCAGCCCCGCAGCCTCACAGTAGGAAGCCCCCATTTCCCCACCCAGAGCTGGCGCCCCCTGCCAGGGGCCTTGACCTTCTGAGTTTGACTTAACAGCCCGTCTCCAGTTCCACCCATTTTCCTGCCAATGCCATGATTTCATTTTTCTCCTCACCTTCCCGCCTCCACTAGCCTCCGCCCGAGGCCCCAGCCACTGCATGCCCCTCTCCCCTCTCCCCAGGGTCAGGCTGCCCAGCACTGCAGGAGGCGTCGTGTCTCCGCAGGACAGCTGTGTCCATCTCACTCTTCACCTGTCCAGACAGACGGCCTGTGCTCCCAAGAACCTGGCAGGTCCCAGCACTTACCTATCTCCACGTGGGTTGACAGGCCACACGAAGAAGCTGTCGGGCAGAGGAAGGCCAGCACGGCCAGCAGGCCAGGCCACAGCCGGCCAGGGGACATGCTGCCGCTGCTCCGGGCTCCTGGGCTCACAGGAAGCTCCTCGCTGCCGCAGCAGGCACGGAGCCAGCACTTCCCTGAGCAGCTGGTCACTGACATGGAAACCGAGCGCCTTTCAAAATATTGTTTCCCAATGAAGTCAGCTGCTCGGCCACTGCTCAGCCTCAGCAGAACAGCAAACCCACTGTCCACCTGGGAGGGGAGAAAGGGAGCCAGTGAAACCCAAAAGCTTCCAACTGGGGGCCCCGCATCCTCCACCCAGCGGGCCCTGCACTTCATTTTAACTGACGATGGCGTGGAGACCAAGCAAAGTCGTCTCCAAACAGTTCTGGCTTCCTAAAAACAGACTCACCAACAGTCGCTCTGGTAGACAGCCTCACGTCCCGCAGGCGACTCGCACATCCTTTGCGCACATTTATCAGGCAGCCCTGCCTCTGGGGGGAGGGCTGGGGGAGGGCTGGGAAAGCTTTTATGGTGATCAGCTGGAACCGGCTTCTCCTCAGTATTTGGCAACAGATATTGACACTTGTGTGGGTTTACACAAGTGCAGCCACTCCTGGCTCCTTCCTCTGGCTCTTAGGGCTTACAGGGCCGGTCAGATTCCTGCATCCACTCAAAGATGCTGGTTCCACTTGGGAGTCAGAGGGGAGATGGGTAGAGGAGGGCCAAGAAACCAGGGTCTGGAAAATGCTAGACTCAGAGTCTATCTGCCCTGGAGTAGAAGATCTATGGCACTTAGTCCAGGAGGGAAATTTAGGTCAAACTTTTCATGGGAATCTTAAAGGTCAAGTTATGCATAGCATGTGTTAAAAGCAGGAGAGGAGCTTCTAGAAAGAGTGGGAGGGAATGGTATTCACTCTCCTCACTTTGGGCTCGCCAGTCAAGAGCTGGATGAGCCCCAGGTGGGACTGGTTTGCCAATAGGTGCTGTGCAACCTCAGCCAGGTGAAAAGGCCCCGGGAAGAGAGCACTGTACCCTGGGGAGAGGGGCTTAGGACACTGTTTATATCGACTTCTAGGCCACAAACCAACGGTGTTGTCTTACTAAGAGTGTTTTGTAAACCTAAGCCAACAATGTTTTTTTAATGAGAAACTTCACAGTGAAAAACCAGCCTCTACCTCAGAGCAAAGCCTGTCCAAGGAAGGGACATCACCTTTGTCCTTGGAAAGACCCACAGAGCACTCCTAGGCACATACCCACCTGCTAAGTGGTTTATCTACAAATAACAGGAGAGATCTGCTGCCCCAGGTGTCCCTGACTTAGGCTAGGTGGGGACCCATAGCAACCCCCTAGCAGCCACCAATCAGCATGAGACAGGGAAATACCTGGGATGCCAGATGACCCTCCCAGTAGTTTATGGTGGTTGATTACATGTTGGGAAACCATGTAGTTCAGCACGTACACACCTCTTGGTTTAAACCAATCAGTTCAAAGGAATCCCCCTCTTGTACTGACCAATCACCCCTACCCAACTTGTTCCCGCCAGTGAGTGTGCTAATCATGTTTTAGAGTTGTTATTTGATTTTCCCGCGGTGTGTGATGATTTACTAAGAGATGCTATGATGTATGTGGGGGTCCCTGCCTTCTCCAAAGAATGTATAAAACTGCTGCAAACCCTGGGCTCGGGGCCTCTCAACGTCACCAGTTGCTGTGTGCAGGGAGGACCGAGCTAGCTCGCAATAAATACCTCTTTGCTGTTTACATCGATCTTGGTCTCTGGTGGTCTTTTGGGGGTCCCGAATTCGAGCATAACATATGGGGGCTCATCCGGGATCCCCCTAATAAGCCTACCCAGACACCCCGATCGAGAGGTGATGAAAACCTGGCCGGTAAGTAAAGGCATTGCCGATCTGTAAGATTCTGTACTCTGGTTGCCTGCAGGTTCTGGTTCTGTGTTGTGTGGTCGGCAAAAGGTCCAGGTGGACGCACTGAAGGGCAGCCGACAGGGTTTGTGGGAGACATCCCCAGCCTCTTTCTGGGTTCTGAGTGGATTGCCTGTAGTAAAGTATTTTGTGAAGTTATTTGGTAAAGTATTTTGTAGCTGACGGATCCGTGGTCCGCCTGTGCCTTTGGTTTCTGGGTAGCAATCCACAATGCGCTGCGAATTTTGTGTTATGTGTGTTTGTTTCTATTGTCCTGTCTGTCTCCACCCCAACACCCTGGCAAGAGAACTAATCTCCCAATCCAGGGTCGTCAGACCCAATCTGAGGGGGATGCTCCCCCAATCCCTTTGTCTGAAGGGAAGGCCCCAGTTGGCTTGGGGCCAGTACCCACTTTCGTTTTTTTGAAAATCTGAAAAGGGAATCTGTGTCTTTTTGTCTGTGTCTCTGTTGAGTGTGATGGCATTGTTTTACTTTGGACAGATGCAGTGTCCCAAGTTCCAATCTGCCTTAGATGTGTGGAGGGAACTTTAGCTAAATTTTAGCCTAAGAATGTCCCTAGTATGCTTCTCCTGTAAGGGACCAAAAGTCAATAGAACTGCCAGCTTTTCTGTTCTCAACTTTTACATCCCTTTTAGCTGTGTTTTAAAGAACTTTGATAGACTTTACTCCCCTTTGTTAAATGGGATTAGGGAAGCAATGTTTTTCTTTCTTCCCGTAGTTGGCTTGAGTGCACCCACTGCAGAGGGAAATGCCTGCTGGGGATCAAAGAACTTTGATACCTCACTTTTTTCTTTTTCTCAAAACCCTGTCCTCATTATTAAATTGGCATTAATTGGCTTCGAGGAGAGGAACTGAACTTTCAGTCACAAATTTTGGCACCCCAGAGGGGACTTTAGAGGAGCCCCACTCTGCTTTCTTGGGGAGCCTAGTACTCTGAACAACTGCATGCCGAGGATGTAAGATGAACTTTTTGGGAGCTGACTATTGAAAAGTTAGGAGATATGGAGAGTGCCTGGTGCCTGGGGTCGGACCAAACCAGAGGAACTAATCCTGAAAGTAAAAGGAGGGACTGAGGGACCCCCAGCAGCTGCCAAAACCATTTTGCTTTGGGGAACTCCGTCTTCCTTCCCTGTACTGTAAGGATTACTCCATCTCTGTCTACTTAAAAAGAAGGGGACACTGAATGCAGTAAGTCGCCACACCGAGACCCTTGATTTTACACCTCTGGTTGCCCCTGTGTGAGAACATCTGGTCCACTCGTGGGGAAATCTATGGTGCCACTGATGTAGGAGCCATAATGGGAGTTAGAAACCTGGGGAGATTTTTCTGTTATCTGGTCTGTTTTAAAGGTTATTATAGATTGTTTCTTGGGGAAGATCTTGGCTGAATGTGTGTCTAAAAGATGATTTTTGATTGTAACAATCTGGCATCTGAATGGGTTTTTGAAGCATTGCATAATCTTGCCGTTAAAAGTTAGGTTTAGGTAATTGTTTAGTTTATGATTTCAGATAGTTCATGCTGTTGTAGGGACAAATAAGGCAAGGCACCAAAGATAGCAGGAAACAGTTTTATTTGGCTGCAGCCAGGTTCAGAGGGTATAGCCTTTGCTGTAATCAATCAATCCCCTGAACCCCGAGTTCAGGGAGTTTCAGAGTTTTATACCCAGCATGTAAGGGGAGGGGCTCAGAAGTTCACAGTCTGCAGAAGTTCACATAAAAGCAGCTTTTTCTTTCACTGTTGTGGGCAAGTTAACTCTTCAAGGACCACACCTGAGAAGAGAATAGCTTCTTCTCCCCTTTCTTTCCTCCCCCTGCCAGCTGTTACCATGGAGCCCATTTGTAACTTATCTTAAAAATGTAGACTTCTCTGTGAAGCCCAGCTCAAGGCCAGAGGCCTTGTTTGCACATTTCTTCAAAGTACTATACTGGATACGTTTGTGAAAAACTAGTAAGGGGGTGTCCAGCACCTGGAGTGCTGGTATCTTCTCGGCCAGTGGCCAAGTAAACAGGGCGACATGAAAATAGGAAGTTTATCTACAATGGACTCTTTTGCTGACAGTCTTAAAATCAGCCATGGTGAAGAGGGCTTTTCTGTGGAGAAAGGGGGTGCCACTTCAACGCTAGAGAACTTAAATATTTAGGATGGAAAATTAAAAGAACTCTACTTCCAAGTTGGCATGTAACTCCCAATCATTTAGTTTTATTTTTTCATCAATTTTTGAACTGGGTAGCCTGGGAAGATTTCACTAGGTGTACCAGTGCATTAATTTGGGCAAGGATAGTAAATTATGCTGTGGTATCTGTTCCCCTCAGTGTGTAGGATTTAGGAAAGGAAAGTGTTGAATTGGGACATTGGTCTGGCTTATTGAAATGCATTGAATAGCAACAGTCTTGGGAATTTTTAAAGCTTAATTTTGGATATACATGGTAGTGTGTGGTTCTCATTTGGAATTTTTTTCAGGTGATTTAATGTAACTTACTACTAACTTCAGAACAAAGGAAGTGGCTTAAGGATCCTGAAGGAATTTCTTCTGATGGTAGCTTTTATATTATCAAGTAAGATCCTATTTTCAGTTTTGGGTGAGCAAGTTTTTCTAGTGTAGGAAGATGTAAAGGTATGAAATTTTGTGAATTGCATCTTAAACTTGTATCATAATTTTCAACCTCCAAACCTGAAAATTGTGACTTATGGTTAAAATGCCTTAGGCATGAGGCTTCTCCTCAGAATTCCAGTTCTTCCTGCTCCTTCCAGACCTCAGGCAGGATTTGAGTTGAAATGCAATAGAAGAAGCCTATGAGCTCAGTAGGAGACAGATCTGAGGCCCAAGGGGGAAAAAAAAGTAAAGGTGTCTTTTACCTGAACTCCAACTAGATTAAACCAAAGAGTAAATTATATTGTATTTACTAATTACTGGCCAGTCATTTTTTCTAGGACTCTTGCTTTTTCTTAGATTCTGTATTTTTTTTTTTTTTGAGCTCATGATTTTGATCCTACAGACCTAGGTTAATGTTTTTCTGATCAGTTCTATTCTTGATCAACTGTGGAGTTTTTTTGAACATTGCAATGGAGATTTCAGCTGAGAAAAGCTACAAGGCCTTTACTATTGTGTATGTGTGCACA